TTGAGGAATGTCCTCTACGGTGCTTGTGGAGAGGTTTAATATCTCTTTGCTCATTGGTTTGGCAGCTGAAAAAATTGGAAATGACACAAAGTATTTCTCAAGCTCACAAAGGTGATATAGAAGCTCACGATCACGGACTCGCAAGCGTACAGGGCATATGCCGCACATCATTCGCACATGTGCTCACACGCTGACTGATACACAAAAGAATTCCACAAAGGTCACTTTTGACAGCGGTAAATAACAATCCCACCGCAGGCTCTGCTTCTGATTCCGAAATGCAAAAACATTTTGATTTGCTCTTGAGAGCTTTGTTTGTTTGTTTGATTCACTTTTCAGTTCAAACCCGAATGCGAACGTCAAGTTGGCAAAGAAGACTGTATCTATGGAGGAGAACCAAACATTGGTGAAGTTGCGGTTTTGCTCTACTGATAGTAAATGCAGCCAGAATGGAAAGAGAATTTTTTATTTTTTTTTTTAAATGGAGATAATTTTCTTATAAAAGTCGTGTTCTTTTGATTTGATCCTTGCTGTGCCAGTTTCAATGCAAAACAAAGACGGAGAATGATTTGAAGGCCACTGTGCCTTCCAAGAGAAAATTATCTTTACATGCTGTAAGATTTATGAATTTGTTTTTGGTTTTGAAAGCAATTGATGCAAATTAAACTGTTTCCTCTGTGAACCCTAGTAATCAGCTTAAGTGATTACATCGGTCGTAAATATGAGATGATGAAAGCTCAGTGTGCACTGTGCCCTGAGGAAAGGCTAAATGGGAGTTCATAGGGTAGATATGATAAAACATCACACTGGGACTGCACCAGATGCAGGGGGGAAGGGGCTTATGTGGGGAGTGGTTGCCCTCTAGCTGTCAGCGTTGAGACTGGATTATGAAATATGGTCCTAATTTTCTGTTGAGGTGTGTTTATGAAGCACTATCAGTTAGCTTGGGGGCGTGAGCTTAGCTTTGAAATGTACTGGTAATGTTGATGTGAAGGAGTATGATTGGAAGGAGTCACTAGTGGCTTGGAAAAGTCTGAACTTGTCAATATCTGCTAGATAAAAACCAAAAAAACCCCAAAAGAAACATTTGGGATGAAAACATGGGAACACAGACAGGTAAAATATTGAAAACAAAGAAAGTGAGAGGAGAGCCTTTCAATTAATAATAAAAACAACAAGGAGCCAGTGGACAGAGTCAGGATTCATGCAAATGCTAAAGTAAAGTTTTTTGGGTACCAAAGCTAGGGAACAGGCTAGAAGGCAGTGTATTTGGTTTCTGCTGTGAAGGCCCCCATGTTTATTTTACTTCCTGTGTTATATCCTATATTCCATATGGAGGATGATGATTTTGCTTGTACTCATTGTTGATGGCTGTCATCAACTTGCCACAGCCACACACCAAAAGACTGAACAGGAAAAAAAGCTTTTGAAACAACATTGCAAGAGGATGTGAAACAGTCTTAGCAGAGAATGTGTGCAAACCTCTAAAAGCAGAAGAAGAGGAGATATTTCAAGGAAGAAGGGATGTAGAAAATGCTACAAATTACAAGAAAGATCTATTTTTTTCTTCCAGTCATCCAGATACCCAAACTGTTTTGAGACTTTGAATGCAAAGGTTACCAACCATAAAGAATAAGTTCTATTAAATAAGCATTCAGATTAATAATAACTAATTATTCAGTGCACAGTGGTGTATAAACGCACAGTGAATGTCAATTCATCCAAAGTTATATTGGAAGTGTGCAACTGGTGATTATATCAGTGATTGGAGCTTATAGGTAGCAGCATTTATTAGTGCAAACAAAATGGATTGAATTTTCCATCCTTCTTTTCCTTCTTTTCTTTTCATCCTTTGCGAGCTACTGTCATTGATGATAGACTATTTAATTCAAAGTCTGAACATATTGCAACAAGGTGCCAGCATTAGCAATGCAGCCATACTGACACGGCATTATATCCAGTGACACAGTAAAGTAGCCTAGATAGTGTTTTCTGTGTAAATTTTAAGTAAAATTGTAACACAACAGTTTAACTCTTTAGTTTACAATAGCAGGGACTAAAATGATCTAATAATGGAGCTCTTCAGGAACCTGCCACAATGTCACGTAATAAATCGAAATTAAAAAATATTTCCTATCTGGGATGCTGTAACCTGGGCCGGGTTTTTTAACCATTTGCTCAAAGCCTGCCTTTACCACCGTGTAACCGAGTCAGTAATTTCCATCATGTCATATGGGGTCCAGTTGTTTACTTCTGGGTGGCATATCTCCAGCTCTCTTGCCTTTACTGCGTGGTTGTACTTGATGGCGTGCCTCAAGTGGCAAAACAATTTGTTGTTTCCTCCTTTAGCGAGAACAGTTTTCTTGCATATTTTGCAAAGCTTTATTGGAGTACCTCCCTTTTCCTCCCTAGACTGATATGTGGCTCTCGCTGTCAGACATGTCTGGGCTTGTGCTGTTGTGCCAGCTTGGGAATGTAAATGTATGGTGTTGCTAATATCATTGGTATTGTGATATGACATTTTTATATCATGTACAAATTTATAATGATATTAAGGATGGCAAATTCCTAATTTGCAACAGGAATGTAATAAGCAAACGTAGCTTTAGCCCTATTTAGCGCCGTATCTACCATTCCCATTGTTTAGCTAGTTAGCTGTTTCTTTGTGGGAAATAAATGCAATCAGTGTCTGTCTGTCTGTGTGTGTGTTTACTGTCTTTACTCAGTTGGCCTCAACACTTAAACTTTCAGAACAATGCCAGTGTTCACACTAACTAATCAAAATCAAGCAGGAGGAGAAGAAAAACTGGGCAGGCGATGTTTTTTTGTAACCAGGCAACAATAAGCACTCAAGAGAAGCGCAAGTGAAAATGTGGTCAGGGGCACAGCGAGCGGAAAAAATAATGCTAAGAAAACTAGCTTTAGGCATTACATGTAGAATTACACTGCAGGTTCTGTTTTGCCTTTGATTGTAGCTCAGTTTTGTTGTCACTAAAAATTTTAATTTTCATTCTCTTCACAATCATTTAAAACAATAAAAAAAATTCAAGTTTGCTCAATAAAATATGTGATAGTAGCAGTGCATGATGTAGAAGAGGTACTAATCAGGCATTTCAGGTTGTAATTAATTAGCGTAACTATTAATTTGTGAACTTTTGTTTTGATTTTCTATAAGTCAGCCTGCTTGTGCAGCTGCTGAGTTTGTTTCAGTGTGTGTGTTTTGTGAGCGTAAAACTCTTTGGATTACAGATCCCCTGCCCAGTCCTGAACTAGCCAGGAAAAGAGCCTTTTAACTTAACTCTCACATATTTATTTGTTTTAAGCAATTGCTGTAAATGCAGGCTTTTTCAGTTTAAATGCAGCCTTGCGTCCAAGGAATGGCCCACGAGGGCTTTGCCCGTTACTGAAGGAGTTTAATGCAGCACCGTGTACTTTATTGCTGTCAAATGTAATTTATCCTGACTTGATTGCACTGAAAGCCATGTTTATCAGGCACCTAGCAACACTGTTTTGAATGAAAATTACCTCTTTAAAGAGCAATTAGGAAAATGAACCTATAGGCCAAATGCCTTTGAGCTCCAGACTTACTTTAATATTATTCTACATTAAGTCACGCAGAAAATCTAGAGTAGAATCAGCTAAGCAAGTGTACAAAGTCCCCTGGCAATATTTTCAATTGAAGGGCATGAGAGTTTGATGGAAGAGATGTGAAAGTTGTTTTCAAAGGGTGATGTTAACTAGGAGCTGTGTGCAAGAAACTTTATTGCCATGTTTCAGATTGGCAAAGTGACTGAAAATAACAAGATTAGATTAATTGCAGGAAATAACTCGGAGATGGTTTGATGTTTGCATGCATCTGTATTATTCATTGGGAAACCCTGTTACTAGAGCAATATCTTGCTTTCTCATGCGTGTCAGCTTAAATGAGTGAATATTTTCAAATCTACCTCACAGAGCAGCCCTGAGAACGGGAAAACAGTCTTTTGTATGGGTGCGTTGAAGGGCCAACGCAACACCAGCACATACAGTATGAGCAGGCAATTAGAGATGGGGCCACATTTTACACACCGTTACCTTCCTTTCAAGACAAAAGCTTAAACAACTGCTGTAATAAGATGTCGAATTAAGCGGTGAAGGCCACCATATGAGACTTGTTTTTCTGTAGCACTTTCCTCCTGTGTTTCCCATGTCAGCGAACCAGAGCGTGGCTTGTTTCTTTGTGTTCTAGATCAGGATCCAGATATCTTTCTCATCATCCAAGCCTTACTCCACTTTTCCCCCCATTAGATTTTCTTTCCCCCTAAATTCCCTCACACTCACCCGCCTCCCCTCTCCTCCCTCTGCACACATACATCTTGCACACACACCTCGTTATCTTATTTGTGGCCTTGGCAGCCAGATTGGTTGCCTTGTGGTTCAGTAGCCAGTTTTCTCTGTCACAGAGAGCCTTGGGTGCAGATCCTTCACCACACACGCTTCCATGAGAGCAGGAAGTCAGTTCCCAGCATGCTTTGCCCATCCCAGTGAAACCTGGGATGGATTAACCTTGGGCTGGGGGACCTTTCCAACTTGGAAAAGAGTTATGCAACTTCCCATACTTATTGCTGCTCTCTATTGCAGTGACAGTGAAGTGTTGGGCTGTACAGACGTTTGTTTAAAATTGGGGTTCAGTTCTGAGGGCTGGAGCAAGCTAAGACCTCATTTGTGATGTTTCCTAACGTAGGACTCACTTTTTACATAATGCAGACTTTGGCAAAAGTTCACATACGTACCTTTTTAAGGCCCTCACAAGCCAATTGTCAGCAAACACGAGAGAAAATACACATTGTGGAAGAGAGCCGGAGGAATTAACTGAAATGACCTGCCAACCTTAGGCTAAAGAAGAGAACGAGTTTGACATGAGGCAGTGTAAAATACAAAATCGCTCTCACTCAGAGAATCTCACACCTGACGGTAATGATTAAAATGAAAAATCTTTTCTCTCTCTTGTTTCTGCTCAGGTGGTTCAGGAAAGCATCGATCCAAAGAGCCAAAGAAGAAGAACAAGCAGAGGCTGCGGTTTCGAGCTCAGAACCAGCACAGTGACCACTTGGCCTCTAAACGCTCCAGCCAGTGAGGACTGAAACTACCCAGTGAACAAAGAACCAACGCAAAGCTGCTAGCCGCTGCTGCACCTATATTCTGACTGACGACTATCACGAACCCCGCCACCTCCCGTCCTGCTGCCCAGCCCTATCCCACCTTCGCCCTGCCAACCAGGACTCATAAATCTGCCAGTCCAACAATATACAGCATATAATGTGTGATATAAGTACAACACTAAACCACAACCACACCAAACACATGCTTTCATGCCTCTGCCTCCTGCTAATTCTCCCCGAGCTGCAGTGACCAGCCAGGTGACTCTGTTCTCCCAGCCTTGTTACCTTGTGGATCTTTACAGTTGACATTACCGAACTCATTTCATCGTCATTAACCATGTCATTCAACGTCTGGGGTGACGGAAGACGGAGGAGCCACCAGAGGTACCGCGGAGGCGGAGGAGCCAGGAAGGGGACGGTGAGGTTGTGAGGGAGTTGGCGACATAAACTGTTCGGGAGAGATTTAAAAATACGCTCGAGGAAGCAAAACGATGCTGATGGACAAGAAAATGGCATCTTGACCTGAGAGAGAGACTATTTTTTTGTTCCCTATATTTATGTCAAAGCTATCCTTACCTTCCTTATTCATGGAGACAAGTGTTCCCATTGTGGCCTTTATGTTATGTACATTTTTGAGAGTAATATTAAAAGAAATTACCATGCATAGTTGCAAAGTATTTTATTCTCAGCACAAACTGTTTACGTTCAGACCGCTTTATGCTCTAACTGTATAGTGTGGTTAAAAAACTAAAAAAGAAGAAGAAGAAAAGAATAAATTTAGTTGTTCAACTAGCATGGCAACAGACTCGTGTACATAGTTGATCTAATATTGAAAGCTTATTACTGTATTTTCAGTATTGACTCGTTCATCGTTCTAAATGTTTTAGAGAAAAAAAGGTTGTAATACAAGCTACAGATTAAAATGATTAAAAACAAATAATAAACATAGCCACCATATAGCTATTTCATTTATATGGTATATATTTGATTTATTTATTAATTCTGTTTTGTACTTTTTTTTTGGTTCAGTGAGAATTTTTGCCTCATACTGTTACTCTTATATGCTGAAATATTCTTTGCGTTCCTTATAACAGTGCATATCTTTAACACGTGGAAACGCTTTCTCGTCTGTCACGCAGGTGTTGTATTCCTTTCATTTGACCTCATCTACTGATTTTGATGTTTTAAAGAAGAAAAAAAAAACAAGACTAATAAAACTATGCTTTGACATATTCTAGGTTTATTGATTAGGATCCAGCAAATGTATGGTCATAGGACTGCATATGTGTACGTTGTGTTTTATTAAAAAACATTTCATGTGACTGTATGATGAAGCCTTTCATTATTGTCTGTGGCTATAATATATGTGGCTAAACTCTGAAACTGTAGTTTTCTTGTCTTCTTTTTCCGAGTACCATTGAGTGATTTCAAAAACATTTGTGAAATCCGTCATGTCATACTGCATGAGACAAGTGGTATCTCCAGCCAAAGGATTGGATATGGTCCACTAGGCCTTAACGGCATGACAGCACCGTTAAGGGTTTGTAATTCACTATGACGTAGCCTCGTGAAAGCTACAAAACCAGCGGATGTCATTGGTGGCTCATCCATCTCCAGCATTACACTATAATTTCCTAACAACTTGCGTTTGGCTGTGTCTTTTGTCATGCGACACACAATCGATCACCAACTTAAGTGATGCACGTCACACTTACTTCTGTGATCTTCAAAACATTAAATAATCACAGAGAAATTTAGCTTTATGCTAAATCTATCTGGTATATGGGTGAAGAGAGCATGTTCTAATGCAAGTCATGGCTAATTTAACCCGAGGTCCACGCTGCGTAATCACCATCCCAAAAAATGAAGGAAAGAAAAAAAAATTCAAATCTGCCAGACAGCTTATGGATGCCCAGTGGCAGATGAATCGCGCTGTGTCACATATATATATATCATCCTGGGAGAAAGAGACCACAGTCTTCCTGCTCTGCTTAACCTCCCCTGAAATCACAAATGATATTTCCACAGGGAGCCTGTCAGTGTTGAAATACCCCTCAGTTTATGGGCTCCATGTCTATCTTAAGGCCAAATATGCAGCTTTAAGTGCCTGAACATCTTTCACAGGTGTTCCAAGTGACACGGCAGACTTTACCCAGGAGGCTTTTCAAAGCTTAACAGTGGAGCCGCAAAACCAACATGTAGTAAAAGGTTATCAAGTCAAAAGAATAGCTAACACGTTTGGTTATTTTAGTTACCATGACATTAGAACAATGAGAATAGAAACATTTAATCAAACGCAATACAAAATGTCAGAATTGTTTAAATAAGCCCTGTATGGCTATAGCAAAGAAATCATTTTTGGCTAGCATGTTAAGTTCACAAAGAGGATCCAGATCAGGTGCTGCCAGGTCACTGATAGGGCTCACTGAGCCTGTTCCAGATCTTGCAGTAGATCTCCAGGAACCTGTCGTTACATTAGGAGCATGCCCTGATGTTGTCAAGCATGTGTACAAGAACATTAGGGAGCCATACAAACTAGTGAGCTGCTGCAGTGAAATTCCAGTATAATGGACTAGCCTGCCTCATCATTTTTTCACTCTGATTTTAAGAGCGACTTTCAAATCTGCACTTTGTAGTTTGATTATTTTCATTTCAAGCAAACAGTGCGGCATCCTTTTGTTCCAAAGACATTACCCAGTCCATATCAGTATAGATTTCTAGCATGATTTTTTTCCCATTGAGATCTTTCCTTTAGTTTTTTTTAAAAAAAATCCACATTTTCTGTCTTGTTATTTGGGCTTTTGGAAGCAGCCAAATTTTGGGGGGAATAACATCGTAAAATTTTACTTTCTAAAAAAAATGTATTTAAAGATGGCAAAAGGGAGCCCATAAACAACCAGTTGGGCCAATGAATAAATGAAACAAAGCAAAAATGAAATAAATTTTTGAAAGGAATTAAACATGTCATAGAGGTTGAGTAAGTTGTTTTTAAAGACATCTGCTGCTGGTTCCAAGTTAATGAACGATTCACAGATGTCATCTCCCGGGCCAGACTATCACTACTCCAGACTTGGGGATTAAACCTTACAGCTTACGGAGAGGAACTCCACTGAAGTGGATTCATTAAGCACAAGACCACCACTAAAGCACACATTGCAGCATCCACAGTGGAAAAAAGAAAGTACAAAGAATCACATCGCACATTTGATGCGATGCGATCAAACTCTTATAGTTATTCTTTAATATCGGTCTGTCCCTTTCCACTCATTTGTTTTTCTGTGACTGTGAGAAAAAGGACATTGCTGCAATTCTCAGTATTGTTGAGGAGGTTAACAGTCATGCACACATCAGAAGGAATGGTCCTCCCTGTGCAAACCACTTCTGTAAAGTGTGTGAGTGTGTGTATGCCTTCCTTTGTGCGCATTTTTTTAATGTTTGTGCTGAATGCGGTTAGGTGGCTGAGACTGAAGCTCCCTTTTAATCTGACAGAGAGCATTTTCATTAGTTCTGTTGGGTCCTATTATTAAAGCCTGCTTCAAAGGCACAACAAGTGAAACCACTAACAGGAAATGACCCAGTGGGCTTGAATTCGGATAGATCAGTGCTTTTAAAGCAGGTTGGGATAGCGTTTAAGCGTATCTGCTGTCGGCCATGTATGCAGCTCACAAGACAGTAGGAGGATAACAGGAGGGGTGCTGAGACCTCTGCCCTATATTAAACATGCTGCAGCTTAATGCGAGTAAGCAGTTGTGGCATATGTGACACATTTGTTCCAATGTGCATGGCAGAAGTGGAAGTTATGACATTGGTGGGGCAAATAAGATTGCCCTGGATAATAAATGTTGCAATAATTTGCTGTTTTTAATAACTGTATAATGAGCCATCGCTTTGCCCTGTGAGTTGACGGAAATCTGGAATCATTAATCTTCTGGTGGGTTAGCCATGGTGTTTGGCACGGGCTGAAACAGCACTGAGTAGGAACATACTGGTGTCAAAGGACAAGCAGATCTTAATATTTTGAACAAGTTCGCCATATGTTAGACATCATGATGTGTACAAGGCTGCGAAATGGTGGCATTAATGGGTGACTTTTATTACTAAACTCGCTCCTAATTGCAACAATGCAATCCAAAGTCAACTCTCAAAGCAGGAACTCGCTTCATTTGGAGTTGCTAGGGAACACGTTAATCCCTAGAATAAATACAGTCTTCAATAAAAGCTAATTGTCTGTGACAGTCATTTGCTTTGCTGCAGAAACATTCAAAATGGGAAACTGTAAAAAGATTCAAAGTTGGAGTAGCGGTGCACCGGTTAAGCCTGCGTGGATGATCGCAGTCGTGTAGCCCCGTTATGTCGGCCTCACCTGCGGGACAGGAAACGTAGGCCCTTTGTCATAATGCTCACCTTGTGCATTAATATTGCCATGCTTTGACACACATATATTTTTGTTTAAATTTCTGGATGACAAATGGGGATATTTATGAGTCACTTGCGCTGGTAGTGTTTCAGTTGAGCTTCATTGCAGCAGGTGCAGAAGTGAACATGGGACATTTTTATCACCATCCATTACATGGAGCAGACAGGCATTTCTATACCTACCCGGCGTGGCGATTCCTAAGGGTGCCGTAACTATTGTTTTTCCTGGCCGATTCAACCCTGCGTTCTTCTGGAATACCTAGCTGTTTCTTTTTCACTGGGATTCAAATGCAACACAAAGCCATTGTCCCTGCTCAGTCATAGGCAGAGCAACTCGCTCATACCACTCAGGATGTGACACGCAAGGGCTTTATGACCTGAAATGAATCATACTGCACACCTTAAACACATTACAGGCTGGGCAAACATTTCCTCTAACTGGTGCTTTGAGAGCCATGGGCACAACCATTATATTGGACTCAAGAGCCAGCTGGTGAGGACAAATCCACAAGGATTCCTATTTTCCCTCTTCTGACTCTCTGGCAGCCCTGCTCCATTCATTCAATTTTTATATGTGCCCACTGCCTAGTAGCTGCGTTACTACTAGTTTCAAGGGAGAATTAATCAAAAACAGGTCTTATTAAAGTATATTAAGACCAGTTGAATGGGATATAATGTACTCAGTCAGAGCCCAGAGGGGCTTTATGTGAGCCATAGCTGACACTAGTGACTTCTACGTGTAGGGATATGTTGTTCTGTAGTGGCACTGCATTCCTTCCTGGGGGGCTATTCGCTTAAGCCAGGTATTGCATTGTGGGTAAGCAGATTTTAAGTGGGTATGAATACAGCAGGGGGTAAAGCAGGCTCTCATTGTCCAGGAATGTTTATCCCCAACCCCTCCTTGATTCAGGGATGGATTATGCAGTAGCATGCTTCAGAAGCAACCTTTGGCTCCACTTGGAGGGTCTGTGGAAGGAATATTCATTCATACATATACACACACGTGCAAATGGTTGTTATCCTTCTAATAAGAAGCCAGGTTGATTGCTCCCTTAAGGCCCGTGGTGAGTAGGTGGAAGTGGAGCCGCTGAAGCAGGGTGTTGAGGGTAAGTCCCTGGGCTGGGCTCTTTGGGAAGACTGGAGCCAGTGATGCCCCCAGTGAGGGCAGCACAGTCATCATCTTCAGCACAGCAAATTTTATTGGGCAGTGTGTGGGTTGTAGAAACGTGTTTAATCAACTCAGCTATAGGGGAGGTCTTGACCTCATCGCAGACATTTCCAGCCCAGATTGAGCGTGCGTGTGTGCGTGCCTTTGCTGTCGAGCGTGACCTGCAGTGGAGTCAGTGGCTGACACTCTGCTCTTTGCTGGTTTAAGTGATTAACTGGAGAAAGTGATAACTGATTTGTCAGTTAAGAGTCTGAAATGAGACAGCGTTCCTCCAAGATCATGCTACAGGACTACATAAAGTGCAAGTGTGCAAAAATTGCAAAAACAATGCAACAGCAGACAGAATGA